ATTTTTTTTTAAAGAGAGAGTGAGAGAGGGGAGATAGAGAGAGAGAGAGAGAGAATTTTTAATATTTATTTTTTAGTTCTCGGCGAACATAACATCTTTGTTGGTATGTGGTGCTGAGGATCGAACCCGGGCCACACGCATGCCAGGCGAGCGCGCTACCGCCTGAGCCACATCCCCAGCCCCTAATGTTGTCTTAATAAAATATTACAGATAATGTTTTACATACTTGTTCTGTTGCCATAGAGTGGCATATGATTCCATTAAAATTATTATATAATTGTTTTCATACAATGCAAGACTTATAGGTAATAAGGATATTAGTAACTTCCATTGAATTTAGAAAGCACAGAAGTTTCTTTTCAGATGCCGGCTTAAAAATGGCAATGAATACATTGCCCGCCCCTTTGCTTCACTAGGAATAAGATTGCTTCATTAAACAAAAGTTGGCTTTAGGGCCAAGAATCCTCTTTAGTTGAATGTGCAGGTGCAAGGCAACAGACTAAGACAGATGGAGTCTTGGTGTATCAAACACAGCTTGTGGTAGTGTGTCTGTCAGTTTTTTGTTGCTGTGAGGAATAAAAGTTTATTTTGGCTTATCATTTGAGAGGTCTCAGCCAATGCTCTGGGCCCAAAGTGAGGCAGAGCACCACACAGCAGGAGGATGTGGTGGAGAAGAGCTGCTCAGTTCATGGCAACCAGGAAGCACTATGAAAGAGTGAGAGAGCCAGAAAGGGACAGGAAGAAGCCAGGAACAGAATATATAATCCCAAAGGCGACTCTCCAGTGACTTACTTCCTCCAGCCACATTCCACCAATAATCCATTCAAATGGATTAATCCACTGATTAGGTTAAAAGTCTCATAATTTAATTATTTTTCTTCTAGCCTGAGTTTTTTTTTTGAGGGGGGTGGGTAGTCACCTCATTTCCAAAACATAACAGTGTTTCAAGAGCTTCATGGGGAGATAAAACATTGATTATACTTTTCGGCCCCCAATTCAGCCACATCTGAAGCTAACCGTACTCTTTAAAAATACTTTGTATTGGTGCATTATAATAATAGTGGGATTAATTATTTTAGTTGCAGAGCAGGCTAAACAAATGTTAGCTACAGGGTAGCCTGAACACTCAACCCCCATCTGTCTAGTTCCTTATCGCTTGTTTGCCTCAAGTCTGAACACTCAACCCCACTCAAGGCTGAACAGTCGACCCCCACCCGTCTGGTGCAACAGAAACCCACATCTAGCCCCTGCCTGGTCTGCCTGAAAGCAGAAGATGACACCCTTAGCAACTACTGTATAATCCAATCACTGTACGCTAAAAAAGCAGCTTGCAGACCCAGAGACCCCATTAGATTTTGGCTATAAAAACTCTCTCCTGCAGGGCCCCCTTCTCTTGGTCTCTCTCCTCTCTCCCCTCTCTCTTTCTCTCTCTCTTCTCTTTTCCTCCAGTCAATCAGACACTGCCGTAATAAAAATATCTTGGTTGCTCCTAGTGTTATGGTCACTTTCTTTTCAAATTATGCCATATTTGTACATGCATATAATATAATTTGAACAATCTAATTGCTAGTATCGTCCCTTCCTCAATCTGCTTGCTCTACTCTAGTGATCTCCCTTCTACTGTTATTATTATTTTAATTAGTGCAATATATATATATATGACTCATTTTGGTTTATTCATATACAGACATAGCATATTTTGCTACATTTCATTCCCCAGTACTTCCCCATGCCCTCTCCTCTTTTCTCCCTCTCAATCTGCTTCCTTTACTCTATTGGTCTCACTTCTATTTTCATGAAATTCCCCTCCCCCATTTTGAAAATTCCCCCCTTCCCTGCCCCACCTTCTTCTAGCTTCTGCATATAAGAAAACATTTAACTTTGATTTTTTTGAGTCTGGTTGATCACTTAGCATGATGTTCTCCAGTTCCATCCATTTACCAGCAGATGACATAATTACAGTCTTCTTAACGACTGAGTAAAACTCCATTGTGGATATGTAGCACAATTTCTACAAGAAATGTTAAAGCAAAAATGGTATTTTCAGCTATAAATCTGGATCTACACAAAAACATGAAGAATCCATTTGTCTGTTGAAAGGCACCTAGGTTGGTTCTGTAAGGGTCTGGTAAAACGTCGGAGGAAGAGACCACAAGAGACTGTCTTATGCAACAGTAGAAGGGTGGGTTTATTTGGAGACCAGCATGCTGGGGCCCAGAGCTCTCTATAGCAAAGAGAGATAGAGCCCTGAGAATAGCTTAAGCAGAGCTTATATACTTTCCTTGGAGAGGGCAGCGAGAGAAATTACATTTTGTAGTTTGGCAGTTGGGGACAGCTCATTCTGGGAACAAGATTAGCAGACAGTCCACAGTTGGGGACAGCACATTCTGTGAACAAGATTAGCAAACAGTTCTTAAGATTTCAACAGTGTTTTGTTAAGCATATAGAGAAACGGAGTGACAAGTACCTATTTTATTAACCTTTCATTCCCCACTTCTTCTTCTGGCTACTTTTAATCATAAAAGTGATCATTGGGGGGTGTCACATTCTGTGTCTGCTAGTGGGATATATTGTTGTCTGATTACCATAAGTTTGACTTGTCCAATTTGGGATTGGAGAAAGGAAACTACACGGTTGAGCAAACAGGGTCCTAGAGTTAGCAACAATATAAGAATTATTAGAGGACCGGCCAGGGCTGATAAAAGCATAGTTAACCAGGGGGACTGTGTGAACCAAGACTCATACCACCCTTTTTGGGCCTCTCTCTCTCTCTCTGACGCTCTTCAAGGCATCTTCTTAGTTTACTCATAGATTTTTTTATAACTCTAGTATGGTCGGCATAAAAACAACATTATTCCCTCAATGCAGCACGAAGGCCCTCTTCTCTCATGAAGAGGAGGTCCAACCCTAGCCTGTTCTGTAAAACAACTTCAGAGAGAGAGGTTAAAGATTCCTGCAAAGCTGTGATGGAGGTTTCTAATATCTTTAAGTTTTGGTCCATTGCTGTTTCTAATTGGGTCATTTGTCGTGTCCCACGGACCAGGGCAGTGGTTCCTGTGCCCACCCCTGCAGCAATTCCCATTCCTAATAAGATGGCTAAAGTGAGGGATACAGGTTCCCGGCGAAACCGGGTTGTATGCTCCCTATTTGATCTTCAAATGAATCTGCGTCATGATAGAGCACTCTGGGAAACATCTGCACCATTCCACAATAATTTTTACAGAGTTGTTGAATATCTGGGCTGAAATGCAAGGAGTCAACCCTGTGTCACATGCCCACAAAGTTCCATTATCAGGAGTAAGGAAACCCTGTGTGATGCCAATATTTTTTGTCTGGGTACATAAGTGTTGTTTACTTTTAGGTGGAGACCCTATACATAAGCCTGCCCCGGTTACTTCTGGGAGGGTTAACTTAGGATTTTCACCCCAATTACAGGAGGAACTCTGAGCTTTTACTGCGTAAGTCCCATCAATTGCTATCCCTTCATAATAAGGAGGAGCAGAGGAGAGACAGAACCAACAAGATTGAGTGAGATCTGGTTGTGTGAAATTCAGCACAGCAAAGGCTCCTTCAATTAGCCTCCAGGGGAAGGGGTTGACTTCACTCTGGATTGAGGAAGTAAATGAAGGTGAAACTTGAGGAGTATGGGAAAGTGAAAGGTCCCTAGTAGGTTTAGGTTCCGGTGGTCTATGAGGCCCAATTCCTGGCCTGATGGGATTGGGTCCTATGGCCAAGGGAATTTCTTTTCTCTCAAACCTGATAGTGAACCAAAGGCCAAAATCATATCCTGTGGTGTAAAATCAAATTCCATAGGTTTTTCCTGAAAGCCATGCCCAGATATTTTGGTTTCTTCCTTTGGAGGTGAAGGTTATATTTAGGGGGTCGCATAGGCTATTTGTGTCACATGGAGTAGGGTCAACTAGTCCAGAAGTCCCCGCTCGGGGGCTCCATTTAAATGGAAGATATTGTTTGGGATTTAACTTAGTATTATTCTTTTCCTACGCGAATCAGACTATCAGGGGAGTTTGGGTTCCACCAGACAGCCCCTGTATGCTCACATCTCCATGACTTACAGAAGAAGTCAGCTTTTTTCTCACAGAGCCGTGTCTGTTTGCGGCTTCGATAGTCCGCTGGGCAAACAAAATAATCCAGGCTAGCCAACTTACATCTGGCTTGTATGTCCCTACATCTATAGTGTTTGTTTTCATTATCTATGGTATGGAGGGGATTTAATGGAATTTTAGTGGGATTTTTTTTATCAGGGATATCCCAATAGGAAAGACATATAGCCAGCTGACAAATATCCGGGTGGAGAGATGGCCATTAGGTCCCTAAGGGGGCTGTATGCGAGATAGACCATATTTCCTGTCCAGTAGGATTTATGATCAGCCATCGTTGTTGAACGGGCTGATGAGGGTTAGGACTATTGGTGGTCAAGGGGAGAATCTATAGCCCTATCCATTCGGCGAATACACAATTTGAGAGGTTGCCAGTCTTTTTTAATTTCCAGCCAGAGTCTGGATAAGGCACAGGCTTGAGATGAGAGGCATGGATCCAGGAAGTGATTCCGTCTATCTTTACTGCTGTAGGTGTTATAAGTAGCATCTGGTATGGCCCTTTCCAGCGGGGTTTTAGGGATGATACCTGATGTCGTCTTACATAGACGAAGTCTCTTACTTGATATCGGTGTGAAGTCCCTTCGTCCCCAGGTTGGTAGGCAGTGGCCAGCTGTTTTTATAGGTAT